TATATGCATTTATATAATATATATATATTAATGTACATGTCTATATTTGTCGCCATATTTGTTCATCAGGTCTGGTCGGGATGGAAAACAGATTGCTGTAGCGGTTAGTGTGGATGATATTGAGGCACAGGTGTTTCAAGTGTGGAAAAACGATGACTTGAACTTTTCGGGTCCGGTGAGTGTATTTGATTCATCTGTATGTTCTTTGCGCCTCATTGAACATACTATAACAACCTCGAAGCCATGTGTGAATGTAGTACAACGGCCGGCTGAGTATTTTATATAGAAGTGCAGGTGTTTGATTGGCATATGTAGACTCGAATCCATACGTGCATACAGTATAGCGGCCGTCTGCGTGGTTGATCATCGCATGTAGGGTGTTTGAAATGCAGAAGGGGGTTAAAAGTGATGTCCCGAGTTTCTTTGAGACTGGGAGCGTGTTTCGTGCTTGTGTGGCTAGCTGCAGGGTCACTCCTATACACGTGCGTATTATCGTCGTATGTACTTGGCCGCGAGTGCACACGTGTGCACACGTGACTTGTTTACAGACACAGACACGTGGGGTATACAAGGGTACTTTTAGGGATACGTTTAAGGATACGTTTAAGGATACGTTTAAGGGTACGTTTAAGGATACGTTGAAGGATACGTTGAAGGATACGTTGAAGGATACGTTTAAGGGTATGTTGAAGGATACGTTGAAGGATAAGTGAAGGATACGTCTAAGAATACGTTTAAGGATACGTTTAAGAATACGTATACCTGGCGTGTATTGGCCTTGGTTTGTCCGGCCATTATAGTGTGTGCAAGATGTGATACGGCGATGGCTTAGCTAAGGCGCGTCTCAGGTGTGAGTCCGGTCCCCCTTGTCTATTCGTGTGCGTGTTTATTCGGGGAGGGGGGTGTTTTGTGCGTATGTGATGGGAGCAGGGCGCACGTGTGTGTGTTCGTGGATGCGAGCGAGAGAGATAGAGGGCCAGAACTTACGAATCGTTCGATGACTATAGAGGTCAGCGTACCATTTCAACAGAAGGAGTGACCGTGACCCAGCAGCACGGTCGTATCTTAAGGCTGGGCTGTTTATTGCATTCACATCCGATGACTCGAGGAGACCTGACATCGCATGCACTAGTATATCTCATCTACAACGCTATAGTGGTGCTCATTTATGCAATGTTCGTCCTATTCCAGCCTTCCCCCGAGAATGTACGGGAGGAACGGGCCAATCCCACCGCCAGCGAGGAGAAGGATCCTGAGAGAGACAGGGACATGCGCGATAGAGACAAAGAACCGCGCGAGAGGGAGCGGGAGACCCGCGACAAGGACAGAGACGCTCGTGACAGGGACGCGAAACAGGAGGAGCTGCGCAGAAGGGACAGTGATTTGTTCGGGAAGGATCGGGTATGCATTGGTGGAAGTATAGGTACTTGTTACACCCATACTGTGTATATGTAGGTACATTTTACGGTCAGATTATGTATGTAGAAATGCCTTTTATGTCCATACGATGTATTTAGACTGTTGCGTTCATACGGTGTATCTGCAGATACTTGATACATATACGACTCAGATCGACATATGCATGTATACGACAACAGAATGATACGGAAGCACATTCACACTGACTATAGAAAGCCTGCGCTGGACCCAGCACCACGTCTCTATAGAGAGTTTGCTTGCGTATGCTATGTAAGGATTGGATTAGGATCTCACACTCAAATCAGACAGACATGCATGGATACCGCAATAGCATGAAATGGCAGCACATGTGCACTGACTAAACGAAGCTTGGGCTGGTCCTAGCATCATGTGTCGATAGAGCGTAGTCTGCAATTGTATTGGTATCACACACTCAGTCGGTCATGCACGTATACATACTTCAACAGGACTCTGACACGGAAGCACTGACTGACAGCACTCGGGAGGATAGTGGGCGTGTAGATACCAAGCGAGAAGCCGAGCGAGAGAAGGCTAAGGCGAAGGTGGACGACCGCACACGCGAACGGGAGAAAGCCTGGGACAGTGAGGGAGAGCCGGCACGAGACACAGACAGAGAGAAAACGGACAAGGAGAGAGATGGGATGACGGCCGAAGTTCGGGACATGGAGAGAGAAGAGAACATGGAGAAGGAGAGGGAGACGGATAGTGTGCGCGAGAACGAGAAAGAGAAAGAGAAAGAGAAGGAGGCTGAGAGAGCAGAGAAGCGGCTGGAGGAAGAGCAGCTGCGCGAGAGCGAGAAGGAGAAGGAGAAGGAGAAGGAGAAAGAGAAAGAGAAAGAAAAAG